GCTGACAGAAAGACAGCAGGAGATGGACAATGGGGAACGGATGACCCCTGGAGCATTTGGAGAGAGCTCAGCGTGGGGCAGAAAGGTTGGGAGGCGGAGCCAGAGGGTGAGAATGGAGGAGCCACAGGAGCAACCAGAGAGCAGGGAGAAACTAGCCAAGGAAACTGAGGCCTGGGCGTCCGTGGTGGAGAATCTGGGAAGATGGGGGAAGCGTTCAGCCCTTTCTACACATGCCGGGGGATAAGTGGGGAGACAGTGGTCCTGTGTCTCTCCTGAGAGGATGACAGGGTTTGGGGCTCAGCGCCCTGGGAGGAGGGAACCCCTAAGTTTCCTGAACCTCATGGGCCACAGCCAATGGCAGAGCTCAGTTGCTGCCCCTCCCCGGCTTAGCAGCCACTCCCTGCCCGCTCAGCAGGGCGCTCAGCAGCCCAACTCCGGAGCCGGGAGTGAGCTGCTCCGGAGCCCTTGCCCGGTTCCAGCATGAATCTCACCGCTTGCTGAATCCCAGGGCTAGCTCGGGAAAGTTCCAGGTGAGCCTGGGGAGGAGCGGCTCAGGTCCAGGTGTCTGTGGTCCAGGTGTGCCCTGCCCCTTGGCACTGGAGGTGGGGGAATTTCTTTGGAAGGGAGGGCATCGAGGGAGGAGGTCAAGGTGCCTGGGGCGTCCCTGGAGCCTGGTGGTGGTGGGAAGGGCTTCTCATCTGCTCCAGGCTCTTCCTGCTCGCCCCAGCCATTGAAAGTGGGAGCCGGCAGCCCAGTGGGAAAGTGGGAGAGGGCTGAGGCGGGCTGAGCTTAGCAGCTCTGCCAGGGCCTGCCCAGCCAGCTGGGAGCAGCCTGGGGGCTAAGGGCTGGGCCCCTCCCGGGGAGTTCCTGGGAAGCCAGAGTTCCACCCACCGGAGGCAGGATGGAACAGAGAAGCCATGACTCACTGCAGGGCCACCCTGATAGAGAGATGAGATGGGTGGGAAAGAGTCACCCCTAATCCCCCTTCACCCCGAACCTACCAGGTGGAGGAGGGAGAGCATACAGACGCACAGGCAGCTCACTGGCACTGGAGCAAAGAGGGCTCTGAGCAAGACCGGGCAGATCACAGAGGGTGGGCTCAGGAACCAGCCTGCTGGGGGGTTCAAATCCCAACTCTGCCATGTATAAGCTGTGGAGCTGAGCAGTAAGCAACTTGATTGGCCACTCTTAACTTCCACTTGCCTCATTTGTAAATTGGGAATATCAAAATACTACAGAACTTTCCTAAGGCTGCTGTGAAGGCACAATGTACTGACATATGCCCAACACTATGTAAAAGAGGTAGATTGTGCAGGGGTCAGCGGTCAGGAGGACTATGACCTTCCAGCCCGACCCACAATCGGAAGGGTGTAATGACCCCAAAGACACTGTGCCCACAGGCTCTCTGAGGTTCCGGGGTACACAGCAGGGTAAGACCACAGTGTCTGGCTCTCAGCGCATCCCTCCCTGAAAACTGGGGTGAGGAAGGTCACATCCCCACACTTCGACGGCATCCCGAGCTGTTCCTTAAAAGGAGGCAAATTGGCTTTTGTGGGTTTCTCACACCAAGTTCACTAGCAGAACATGATCAGAGACTGGTCAGTCCACAACACAGGAAGGGGAAAAGAGTTTTGCAGCCCGGGTTCAGAAAGGCTGCCTACTGCAAGCTTCTTTTGTAGAATCACAAAGTGAACTGTATCAGCATGGCTGAGTTAAGAGACCTATTTAACTTTGCCCAACCCAGTACTGGTATTCTCCAACTTCTTTCTCTCTTTCTTTCTCTCCCCTCCCCCTTTCTACTCCTTACCCCCACTCTGGATGTGTGTGTTCCTGCCAGTACTAGGTTTGAATTCAGGGGCCTGGTCCCTATCCCTGAGTTTTTTTTCCTCTCAAGGTTAGCACTCTACCATTTGATCCACACCGCCACTTCCTACCTTTTTGAAGTGTAAATAAGAATTTTGTGGATTTGTCTACCTGAGCTAGCACTAAACCTCAATCCTCAGATCTCAGTTTCCTGAGTGGCTGGGATTACAGGTGTAAGCTCTGGCATCCTGCTCCAACTTTTCTTGAACACAGAATTCTTTTTCTTTCTTTTTTTTTTTTTTTGCTGGTCATGGGGCCTGAACTCTGGGCCTGGGCACTGTCCCACAGCACAGTTGCTGGCTTTTTCTGCTTATGTGGTGCTGAGGAATCGAACCCAGGGCCTCAGGCATGCAAGGCAAGCGCTCTACCACTGAGCCACCTTCCCAGCCCTTGAACGCAGAATTCTTTTCTCTCATACTATCACTGGCCTGTGAGACAGGATTCCCTGAAACAGGGCTTTGGGAAAGGCTGGACAAACTCTAGGAAACCTTTTGTATGCAGACAGTGTATGGCTCACACTTTCTCTTTGGGTTGAATTGCCACTGGCCATGCTTCAGGTAAGTCACACCTAGGCAGAATGCTGCTGGGGATATTTATTTATAGAGCATCAGGTACCTGGAGACGTGAATTCCAGTCCCCTCTGCAGCCCACTCCCAACCCAGAAAAGGACAGATAGCAGTTTCCTCTTGGGAGGGGTTGCTGACAGGAGAGGAAGAGGGTGGGGCTAAGGTGGAAGTGTCCAATGGATACCTCTCCCCCTGCAGGCTCCTGAGAGGAAGGAAAGCTGTCTGGACCAGTCCTCACCCGCCTTTACCTGAGTTCTGCACCTCATGCTTGCGTCACCTCACTTACCTGTTTCCTTGCAGTAGCGCCCAGCGCTTGCGTCCACCATGAACTGGAGTGTCTTTGAGGGACTCCTGAGCGGTGTCAACAAATACTCCACAGCCTTTGGCCGCATCTGGCTGTCCCTGGTCTTCATCTTCCGCGTGCTGGTGTACCTGGTGACGGCGGAGCGCGTGTGGAGCGATGACCACAAGGACTTCGACTGCAACACCAAGCAGCCGGGCTGCTCCAACGTCTGCTACGACGAGTTCTTTCCCGTGTCCCACGTGCGCCTCTGGGCCCTGCAGCTCATCCTGGTCACCTGCCCCTCGCTGCTCGTGGTCATGCACGTGGCCTACCGCAAAGCTCGGGAGCAGAAGTACCGCGAGGCGGTGGGCGAGGGCGGTGGGTACCTCTACCTGAACCCCGGCAAGAAGCGGGGTGGGCTGTGGTGGACGTACGTCTGCAGCCTGGTGTTCAAGGCCGGTGTGGATATTGCCTTCCTCTATGTGTTTCATTCCTTCTACCCGCAGTACACCCTGCCGCCTGTGGTTAAGTGCCACGCGGCCCCGTGTCCCAACGTCGTGGACTGCTTCATCTCCAAGCCCTCGGAAAAGAATATCTTCACTCTCTTCATGGTGGTCACGGCCGCCATCTGCATCCTGCTTAACCTGGTGGAGTTGGCCTACCTGATAGGCAAGCGGTGCCGGGAGTGTGTGGCGGCGAGGAAAGCCGCGCAGGTCACGTACCTGGGCTCTCCCCCGGACTGTGTCACCCCGTCCAGCAAACAAAATGACCTCCTCTCGGGAGACCTCATCTTTCTAGGCTTGGACACTTATCCCCCTCTCTTGCCAGACCTCCCTCGGGAGCATGTGAAGAAAACCATCCTGTGAAGGGCTGCCTGGACTGGACTAGAGGGCAGGGCCTGGATTGGAAGTTTCCAGAAGCGGGAGGTGGGGGGAGAGGAATCAATTGGAGACCAGCAGAGGGGAGATTTACACACACACACACACACACACACACACCCCACTTCCACCTGCCCCAGCTCTTCCCTCTTCTGTAAATGGCGATGCCCAGGGCCCTCTTAGAGATTAATAAAGGGGAATCGGTTACTGATTCCAGATGCCCTTTGGTTGTTTGGCCTTGGTGACCCTCCTTAGGTCACTGTGTCAATCTCTGTCCCTGGGAAGGGCCAAACTAAACCTGGCTAGATGAAGAGTCCCCACATCCTACCCAAAACGCCCTTCCAGTGCTCCAGGGGGCCGGGCACTTGCTCCTGCACACAGGCAGCCCTTCACCAGGCAGAAGTTTAGGCCCTTGGTTGCCTACAAGGTCATGATGCCGAGTACACGGGGCATGGGACGTGGGCCTGGAGTGGCAGGTTGCAAGCCCGGTGTCACAGATACTGTGGAAAAGTGACTGGACCCCCTCTGCAAAGTGGGTTCCTTAAAACCCATGAGGACTGAGGAGTGTGAGGCCACGGACAGGATGAGCTGGTTGTAATAGGCCTCAGAAATGTTAACCTCTGCTATTAGGAAGTGCTCAATAAATGCCTGTAGGAAATAAGGCAGTGGGGCCCCTCCCTGGCTGCCCATTAGCCTTCACCATCCTTGCCAGACCTGGGGGGGGGGGCACCCTCTGGAGTCACACCCCAGCTTCCCTGGAGGCCTCCCTCAGAGGCATGGGCACGGAAGGCAGGCATGAAAACCGTGAGCCTGGCCCCATGCCAGCCAGGGTGGCTCATGCTGCCAACTGACATTCCTTTTGTCTAGCAGGGCACTGGAGCGCTGGTCTAGAAAAGCCACAGCCGGCCCATCTCCCTCCTATCCAAACTCCAGTCCCCAGGAAATAAAAAATTCCCAGCAGGGTAGGACACAGCCCTGGGCTGGCCCAACACTGTCCCTTTTCGTAGATGCCAATGGGTGAGGAGCTCAGAGCCCACTGCCAGAGGGAAGGTCAGGAGAGAGGCCTGGAACCCAAGGGGCAGAGAAAATGAGTGCAGGGCACAAGATAGGGGCAACACTACTGGCGCTGGCCTAGGCCAGGGCATGATGACAGCGGGTTCCAGCCCCCCTGGCTGCAGTCCCACCCACATACCTGCCAGCCCAGCCAGGCTGGAGAAAAGGCGTGGGCTAGGGGAGAAGAGCTGCAGGTGTTTGCTCTGAATATGTGCCCAGGGAAGTCTAACCGCCCGGCCTGCCCTGCCCTGCCCTGCCCACCCACCCGATCACTCTCGCTTGGCTCATTGGCTCAGAAAGCCCCACCCCACTGGGGAGTAAGGAACAAAAGCTGCCTCCAGGAGGCCCTCGGGCATGCGGGCACACAGGCACACCGGACGGAGAAGCTCAGGGACCCACCGGAGAGTGGCTGTGGGACCCAAGAAGGGTAAGAAGTGGATAGGGCTGAGGACAGCAGGGGATCTCAGGCTGGGAGCTGGGCTTCAGGGCCAGAGCCAGCCACCAGGGGCCAAGATCCCTGGAGAAACCCCAGGAAAGCTTCAAGGAGGGGAAGAAAGAGCCTGCTGGACTAAAGGGGGCCAGAGGACCAGAGAAGAATCAGAAAAGGGGAGAATGGGCATCAGGTCCCTTTTCTTTTGTTTTCTTTTTGTCTAAGACCAGGACTTGAACTCTGTATCTGACACTTCACTCATTGGCTGGCATTCTATGACCTGAGCCATGCCTCCAACCACCTTTTCCCTTCTCTCTCTCTCTCTCTCTCTCTCTCTCTCTCTCTGCCAGTACTGGAACTTGAACTCAGTCTCTCACAGTCTCCCTTAGCTGTTTGCTCCAAGCTGGTGTGTTACTACTTGAGCCATGCCTCCACTTCCAGGTTTTTTGCTGGTTAAACGGAGATTTAAAAAAAAAAAAGAGAGAGAGAGTCTCACAAACTTTTCTGCCCAACTGGGTCCTAACTATGATCCTCCTATCTCAAGCTCCTTGAGCAAGGAGCTAGGATTACAGGCATAAACCACTGGTGCCTAGCATCAATTCAGCTTAGCAAACATCCTAGACCAGGCCCAGAGTGGGGTCCTGGAGAGACAGAGATAAGAGGGATGTAGGCACTAGCAGTATAGCAGAAAGACATGAAGAAACCATTTGAGTACAGGTAACACGCCTGGTCACGGAAGAAGGAGGGGCTTTGGTGAGTGCCCTGGGATACTTGTCTGCAAGGCAGATTGCTGAGTCAGCCGCAACACGAGTTGGGGCTAGGGATGATTGACACTGCAGATAAGGGGGTGTGGAGGCTCAAGTACACAGACAAGGCCTGAAGGAAAAGAGGACAGCTAGTAAGCCATTGCCAAGCAGAGAGGGGGCTGTTCCTGAGAAAAAGAGGCAAGAGAGAGTGAGGAACACCTGGAATCCAGGCCCTGGCCCTCCTCAAAGCTGCAATGGTCAGTATTCCAGAGCAACCCACTGTGGTCAAAAGCAGCAACCCCGGGACTCCAGCAGCAGTACACAGGGACAGGTCCAAATAGCTTCTGCTTAGTTCTGGAAGAAAAGCCTGAGAAACTTCCTGGAGCCATAACTCTAATCCTGACACTGGACCCAGAGAGCAGAAAGGTGGGAGATTGTTCTAGAATCTACCTGGGGACAGGTGTGGATGCACCCTCCAAAGGGCTCAGCTCAGGCAGAAGAAGCTGATGGCCAACCATTGAGGATAACCGCCCCTCCCCCATCCACCCCTCTGCCCTGGGTCCAGCCTCACTGGCCCATGGAAGATCAGATCATCCAGTCTCTTTTAGAAATTGGGGGGGGTGGGGGGGGGGAGGTGTTAGCCAGGAGTCGGTGGCTCATGCCTGTAATCCTAGCTACTCAGGAGGCTGAGATCTGAGGATTGTGGCTCAAAGCCAGCCCAGGCAGGAAAGTCTGTGAGCCTCTTATCTCCAATAAACCACCAGAAAACTGGAAGTGGCCTTGTGACTCCAGTGGTAGAGTGCTCGCCTTGAGCTGAAGAGCTGAGGGACAGCACCCCAGCACAGAGTTCAAGCCCCCTGACTGACCAAAAAAAAAAGAAAGAAAAGAAAAAGAAAAAGAAATTGGGGAGGTGGAGGCTGCTAAGGCTGACATGTTGGGTTAAGAGAGACTGGCTGGGGCTGGGAAGGTGGCTTAGTGGTAGAGTGCTTGCCTTGTATGCATGAGGCTCTGGGTTCGATTCCTCAGCACCACATAAGCAGAAAAAGCCGTAAGTGGTGCTGTGGCTCAAGTGGTAGAGTGCTAGCTAACCTTGAGCTGAAGAGGTGAGGGACAGTGCCCATGCCCAGAGTTCAGGCCCCGAGAGAGAGAGAGAGAGAGAGAGAGAGAGAGAGAGAGAGAGAGAGAGACTGGTTGGCATGACCACACAGGACAATCAATTGTCTTCCCCTGTGCTTATTTCTTTGTAGAATAAAATACACCTTCATTTGGGGAGCTGAAGACCAAGGTTCAAGACCAGCTCTGCTACTTCCAGCTGTGGGGCCTTGAGCAGGTGCCTCTGGGCTTTAGTTCCCTTCCCTGTGTAATGGGGGGCAGTGGCATCCCCTCCCACTCCCAGACACTGTGAGTGAGCACAGCATGGCCCCACAGTGAGGCCACACATTTACCAACTACGCCATACTTAAGGGTGCCCATTTCCAGGCTCTCCCAGACCTGAGTGGGTGCCACCCACTCAGGCCTCCACCTGAGCACATCCACGTGAGTCACCGAGAACTCGGCCAGCATGAACTGGGCATTTCTGCAGGGCATCCTGAGCGGTGTGAACAAGTACTCCACAGCCCTGGGCCGCATCTGGCTGTCGGTGGTGTTCATCTTCCGCGTGCTGGTGTATGTGGTGGCAGCAGAGGATGTGTGGGACGATGAGCAGAAGGACTTTATCTGCAACACCAAGCAGCCGGGCTGCCCGAATGTCTGCTACGACGAGTTCTTCCCTGTCTCCCATGTGCGCCTCTGGGCCCTGCAGCTCATCCTGGTCACCTGCCCCTCACTGCTTGTGGTCATGCACGTGGCCTACCGGGAGGAGCGAGAGCGCAAGCACCGGGAGAAACACGGGCCCAACGCACCATCGCTGTACAACAACCTGAGCAAGAAGCGGGGTGGGCTCTGGTGGACCTATTTGTTGAGTCTCATCTTCAAGGCCGCCGTGGATTCGGGCTTCCTCTACATTTTCCACCATCTCTACCGAGATTATGACATGCCACGTGTGGTGGCCTGCTCTGTGGATCCCTGTCCCCACACCGTGGACTGCTATATCTCCCGGCCCACGGAGAAGAAAGTCTTTACCTACTTCATGGTGGCCACGGCGGTCATCTGCATTCTACTCAACCTCAGCGAAGTCACCTACCTGGTGGGCAAGAGGTGCATGGAGCTCCTGGGCCCCAGGCGCCGGAAGTCTCGGCATAGGCACCACCTCCCTGACACCTGCCCCCCGTATGTGATCTCCCAGGGGGGCCACCCCCACGAAGGGAGCTCTGCCCTAGTGAAGGCCAGCTCGGCCACCATGGAAGCAGGTGGGTATCCATAACCTGCAGCAGAATCAGCAGGTAGGGTCACCCTGTTCCCTGCCTGTCCCAAGGCCACCACCCCGTACAGGGGCAAAAGTGGGCTAATCTTCCCCTGGTGAGCAGGAAGGGACTGTGGGGACTCCAGTCTACTTGTTGTCCAATCTGCAATGAAGGGTGACAGTGCGTCTGTGGGTCCTGAGCCTCCGTGGACTTGATGGCTGGTGGGAATTTTATAAACAGCAATAGGGTGAGTCGGAGCCCTTAATAAATATGATTTTCTCCCCCCAGTTCTTTGCAGGCCAGGTGGTGAATGAATGGGGGGTAGGCAAGTGCAGGGTTCGGATGGGTGCCTCAAAAGGGTCTGAGCCCCAGAACCTCAGATCCTATCACTCCAGACCTCTCCCATACACACATACAAAGTCTCCATCAACCTCACCTGGTGTACCACCAGCACAAGGAGAAGAACGAACAAAGGCAGGAGCTACGCCAGGGTCCTGTTGCCCTGCAGCCAGCTGGCCACGACAAAAGGACAGGGAGCCTTGGAGACTCCTGTGTCCAGCAGGAGCTGGTCCCCAGTGAGTGTCTGGCATATGAATGCAACACAGGGGCTCCCTCCCTGCTCTCAGCTCCCCAAACACTGTAATAGGCAGAACCCTAGTAAGGGAGTCTCTCTGAGGGAAGGGAAACAGTGCAGACAGCAAGCTAGGGATGGGACTTCCGGGGTGACTCTGAGGCATGACTCACCCGTACCTCATATCTGTGGAATTTCCCCCCCTGTTCACTGAGACACATTCCTCCCCTGCCCCTACCACTGTTCTGACCTGACCCAACCCCCAAACCATGCCTTCAGCCTGGACCTGCCCCTGAGTCTCTGGGAGAGCCACAGGCATCTCAATGGCATCCAACTGACCCTGTCTCTTCCCCTAAGCCTGCCCCCACCACACACACAGGTGTGTGCATGCACACATGCACATCCCAGAAGTGTACTGATATCCCCCATCTGTCCAAGCTGGAAGCTGGTCTGGCACCCTCATTCCTTTCCCTCCCTCAGCCCCTCACACCCCACATCTCAATACAGTACCAAACCCCGGTACTCATTCCAGCATCTAAAGCCTGTTCCCAGCCTTCCATCTACCTTCTCACCAGGCCTCTCCAATCACAGGATGGAGTGATTAACCTGTCCCTGAATCTGACCACGTCTTGGTTCCTGCACCCCCTTTTCTAAACCCCGAGGTCTCCAATCTCAGCAACCACTGAACCCCCATCTCCAGTTTCCTCCCTCCACTTACCACCAATAATACCTTGGGGCTTGTGGTTCCCCAGACACACAGGCCACACTGTGGCATGCCTATGGCCTCTATCATGCTGTCCCCTCTAACCTGGAATGTCCTTCCTAGCTCCTCTGAGACCTGTCCTTGAACCCCCAGGACAGCCTGCGTGCCACCTGTATGCCAGCCTAGCTCATGCCTCTCCTCTGTCCTTCTCTCCTCCAAATTGAAATGGCCAGTTTTCCTGAGTGCCTCTCCACAGCCTGTGAGCCCTTCAAGGGCAGGACACTGAGTCACCCAGCACTTGTAGACTTCAATAAATGTTTGCTAGCTGAGTAAATGGGCTGTGAGCTGCCTGGGGGGAGGAACGTGTCATGTTTATCTGAACCTTCAGCCACACCTAGCCCAGGAGCTCAGCAACATAGTTTTTCCTTTGTTTGGGTTGTTGTGAACTAAATCCAGCATAAAATTCTTAACGGGAAACACTCCATGTCCTGATTGCTGGACAAGATGTGAGAGTCACATCTCCGGTCACGAGTCCTGAGAGCAGAGCCCGGGGCAGGGGTTCAGTGCTGTGAAGCTGGACCAGGGAAGCTGGACCGGTGGGACTGGGCTGAGCTCAGGGTACAACTCTGAGCCAGAACCCTGTGAGGCAGGGGGTGGGGATCATTAAAAATTCCAGCACAGAGTTGTCCCATCCTGGAAACATGCCCTGGGCCGTTGAACTCTCCTATTAGGGCAGGAGGGCTGGCCAGCAGGAAGGATCATTTCTTCAGTCAATCAAGATCATTTCTTCAGGAGCAACTATAATCTATGAACAGCTAATATCCACCGCAACTGAGGAACAGGTGTCCCCAGGAAAGGGGACACGGTCAGAGCAGTGCTACCATACACCACCTACCACACACCGAACTTGCAACTGCAAGAGACAAAAATGGCTCTGATCACCAATCCCAGAATAGGGTGACCTTCTTGACCAAGCTGCATGGCCCCACACTGCTCAGAAAAAGGCAGTGTCCACATCTAAGCCAGATCACCAGTCCCAACAATGCCCTTAAGAATCTAAAAGCCTCCCTATGAGTGACTGTTGGGTCTAGAGTGTGCTGTCACCCCAGACTACCACCCCTGAGGGTGTCCTGTCCATTGGTAATGTTCAGACGTCCTGAGCCATGAGCCAGACAGAGTTCAAACACCATCTCACCAGCCCAAGGCCTCCACAGGGGGCTGAGGCTAGCCCTGACCACACTTCAGCCTTCAGCTGACTCATCCTCAGTTGCCGACTCATCCTCAGTTCCCGTGGTTCGCTCTGCCATTCAGGTCCCATCCTCTCCTTCCCACCGCCCACCCCCCTCACCCACCCCCATCCCCACCCCTACCCCCCCACCCTAGGAAATCCCCACTTGCTGCTGCGTCTGCCATCTTCCTCTTCTGCCCTCTGACCTGCTCTATCAGTGCCACCCACCTCTCACTCATTCCAGACTGAGCCATGGTCAAAGACCTCCTGGTATTCCCCCTAACCAGTCAACACCGGAGCCACCTGAGTATCACCCTCATCTCTATGTTCCATCCTTTCTCAATGTCACCCCCCACCTCTACAGCCATCCACTAGTTTAAGTTGACAAATATTGTTGATTTTTGTTTTGTTTGCTTTGTGGTTTAGAGGGTATTGTTGTTGGGTGTTTTGTCTTGTGGTACTAGTCCTAGGGCTTGAACTCAAGGCCTGGGCACTGCCCCTTAGCTTTTTTACTCAAGGCTGGCGGTCTACCACTTGAGCCACAGTTCTACTTCCAGATTTTTGGTGCTTAATTAGAGGTAAGAGTCTTCCTACCTGGGCTGGCTTTGAACCTCAACTCTCAGATCTCAGCCTCTTCAGTAGCTAGGATTACAGGCGTGAACCATCAGCACCCAGAGACTTGAAGTTTTTAAATTTTTTTTTTTCTTTTGTCAGTCATGGGGCTTGAACTTGGGGCCTGGGTGCTGTCCCTGAGTGATAGATTAATAGACTTTGCCAGAGAACCACGCAGACATCCAGGCACAGAGAACAAAGAAAGGTTTATTGCTGGAAGAGGGGCTGGCAAGACCCTTTCTCAAAAGGGAAGAAGAGAGAAGCAGCATCAGCTATTGTCTGGGGTGACCTATAGAACCTAGGGGGTTTAGGAGGGGCTAGAAGGGGCTAGGAGGTGGAGACCCTGGTACGGACGAGTGGGCCAGGGGCTTCATCATGGTGGACTAGGATTTATGGCTGCTGTCCAAATGGTAGATAAGGGTCCTGCAGCTGCCCAGACCTGAAGGTCCCTCTAAGGGGCTCCTGTTGCCTTATATGGTGGTAGCTGCCCCCAGAGAAGTGCCATCCCAAGGTAAAGGGGGGGGTTGGAGGCTGATTATTTACTGCCTTTACTAAATGGGCCTAGTGTTGCCTAGGAAGGGAGCATACCAAGCCGTAGAGAGGGGAAGGGAGCTCATTTTGCTAACACTGAGTTTTTTCACTCAAGGCTAGCACTCTACTACTTTGAGCCATAGCACCACTTCCACTTTTCTAGTGACTAATTGGAGATTAGACTTTCCTGCCCAGTCCAGCTTTGAACTATGATCCTCAGATCTCAGCCTCCTGAGTAGCTAGATTTACAGGCATGAGCCATCAGTGCCCAGCTAAAGTTTTTGTTTTTGTTTTTTATTGTTAGCAAACATTAGCTATACAGGGAGAGGGGGTTATTGTGACATTTCTATACCTGCATATGAAGTCTTCATCAGCTTCACCTCTCTGTCAATCTCTTAGCCTCTTCCTCTCCTTCCCCCCCAGCTTCTTAAACAATTTCAATTAACTCCCCCCATCAAAAAAAAGAGGGGGGCTGGGAAGGTGGCTAGAAATTGTTAGTCTCAGTGGAAATTCAATGAAAGATTTGTTTATTTCTTTGCTTGTTTGCTTTGGGATACCATCTCACTAGGTGGCCCAGGCTGGCCTTGAAGTTGCAATCTTCCTGCTCTGTCCAGCCTTCAGAGTGCTGGGATTATAGGAATGCACTACCACACCCAGCTTGATTGATTACTTTTGTGTGAAAGCCCCATACTGGGTGCAGAGAAGAATCCAACCTGGTTCCTGGCCTCCGGGAGCATACATCCTAGACAAAAGGACAGACATCTCTAAACTTGGGGCACGCTGGGGAGCCACAGGGCACTAGAAAGAGAGGAGGGAGGACCTGACATCAGGCATCCAGGAAGGAGCTCTGAGACCTCTTACAGAAAACTGGAGGATTTCATCGATCCAGGGAGGTGGGTGGGAGGGGATAGCATATATAAAAGGGTACCTAATCTAACGACAAAGGCTGAAGGAAATCCAAGCCTCGAGGTCAGACAAAGGTCCTGGTGACCTTTGTCACCCGGATAAAGTGGACTGGGGGCAGATTGTGCAATGCTCTCTTTGTAAATCCTTATCAATGATTTTGGACTGAATCCTGAACACAATGGCAAGGCACTGGAAAGATTTAGCTCAGCAGGGTTGCCTATGTGGCCTTGTGGAAGGAACTGAGGCAGGGCTACCAGTTTGAACTTTGATGCAATTGGAGTAAGAAATCTGGACATCCTGAACAGCGGAGGGTGTGCCCGGAGCAGATGGAAAGAAGTAGCTGGATTTAAGAAATGTTTACGAGATAGATTCAATCTCAAGATTCTGTGACTTGGTTGGGTGTGGGATGAAATAGAGGTGGGAATCAAAGTGACACCCAGGTTTCCTGGCTCTAGCTTGCAGTGCCATTTACCAAGTTGGAAACCAGTAGAGGAGCAGGTTTAAAGTAGATGTGAGGATTTCAGTTTCAGGCATGTTCAGACTGAGATGCAAATAAGATACCCTGCTTAGTCCCTCTCCTTCAAGGACTGTCTTAGCCAACAGCTCTCTCCTTTCTACTGCTACATTTCTTTTTTCTTGCCAGTCATAGGGCCTGAACTCTGGGCCTGGGCGCTTCAGCTCAAGGGTAGCACTCTACCACTGGAGCCACAGCACCACTTCCAGCTTTTTCTGCTTATGTGGTGCTGAGGAATGGAACCCAGGGCCTCATGCATGCAAGGCAAGCACTCTACCACTGAGCCACCTTCCCAGACCTCCCCCTTTTTTTTGGATGGGGAAAGTTAATTGAAAATAAGAGTCTCATAAACTTCCCTATCAGAGCTAGCTTTGAACCATGATCCTTAGATCTCAGCCTCCTAAGTAGCTAGAATTACAGGTGTGAGCCACTAGCACCCAACTACTTATTCTGGGTGTCTTTACAGTAGCCCCCTAGCCTTTCTGTTCCGTGACCTCCTTTCTTCCAGTAAGCCTTTTCTCCACCCACCAACCCTCCCACATGGGTCCTACACCCAGACTTGTCTGCTCACGTCTGGATCATCAGCTAGCCATCCAGTTCACTCACCCTTGTTTCTCCTCCAGCAGTCTTTCTATCCCAACTATTGACCCCCGCTGTTCATTGCCTGTAGGGAAAATGAAGGAGAATGAAAAAGGAATAGGCCAGGCTCAACCGTCAACAAGCAAGGACTGTTTATTGAGGAACCACGAGGGACACAGACCTTCGCGTGGGTTGGGAGATTGTGCCAGGGACTGGGATATGGGGTGGGCTTGTGTAGATCTTAACAAGGAAGCAGAGAATAAAAAATGGGCTATGAT